GAGTGGAATTTCTCCCCATAGTCCATCCAAACCACTTCTTTCCCGGGCACACAAATTGTCTCAAAAAATCGCGCCCATTTGCCGTCGTTCATTGGGTGGCGGCCGTACTCATAGAAGTAATCCCCAGCATCCGGAGGTGGAGGCAGCTGGTAGGCCATCCGTATTGCCTCAAGAGAAGCATTCACCGCCCGTCGGCGCATAGTGACTACTCCATTAACATGCTCCAGTATATTGGCATAGAACTCCCGCACAACCATGACATTACCTTCACCGGGCTCATTGATGAAAGTTTGCAACCCTAGCCTCACCAATTCATTGTACATGTGCGGGCAGTGGTGCTGGAGCCAGCCTACATGAATACCCCTCTCCGGAATTGGCTTTCTACGAGCCTTTTCCGCAAAGCGGTCTTGTGCCTTGGCCGAAACAAATTTTGTAGCATCAAAGGAACAGGCATGTACAGCCCCTCTCGACCTAGCTGAACCAGCTTGGCTGCTTGATGAGGCCCCTGTGGCTTGTCGTTTTCTAGGTGAAGCCATGATACCTGCAACACGGGAACACATTAGCACAGCCCAACTAAGATTTTGTGACGCAATGCGGTTACTCAGACTTCACACGCATAGGTGGTCACAAACTACATTATCATGTTCATTTGGGCCTTTCCACGAACACCTTGTGGGCGTTAACCCTTCATAGCTCTTTTTAAACTTCTTAGAACGCTAATCCACCACATACACTCACCAAGATCATAAATTAGGTGGAATTTCACCCCACACTTATCACGCACCTATACTACAACATATAGCACCAAATTCTCTACACAAAATCTAAGAACAACAACTACAACAAGGTATTTGCATATAACAACATCTGGAAAAAAAATAAAACTAGAAGAAAAAAAAAAGAAGAAAGAGAAAGGAAAAAGAAACTAGGGTTAATGCCTATGATGGACGATGGTGGTGAGTAGAGAAAGAGAATGGGGGAAGATCATGAGAATGCGAGAAAGAATTCGGGGAATATGCGTGAGATGGGTAGAAAGGATTTAGGAGCAGATTTATGAGATGGGGTTTTTATGTTTGTTTGATTAGGGGAGAGTTAGAGGAGGGGTGGGAGCATATTGTTTAATGGGGGGTTTAGAAAGGGGAGGGGGGAGAAAATGAAACCTAAACAAAATTAAATTAGAAAAGGAAAGAAGAAAAAAAAACATAAACGACTAAACAAAACTGGCGACAAACTGACAGGACTAGCGCGGCCAGATGCGCGGTCGCACTAGTATAGCGCGGCCATAACAGAATCTTTGAGGAATTAGCGCGCCCAAGTGCGCGGTCACATGCGCGACCGCGCTAGTTTCGAGTTGAGAAGCGCGCCCAGGTGCGCGGTCGCGCTATTTTTAGCGTGGCCAAGACAGACTTGGTGCAAATTAGCGCGCCCAGATGCGCGTCCACATGCTCGACCGCTCACCTAGGCGAAATTTTTCTTCAACTTTTCACCTGTTCTTACCCCGTTCGATGGCCTTAGCACTTGCCCATTGTCACCTGCATTGGTTAGCACTTCCTAAAACACAAAATCAACATTTACTACTATCGTTGGGTTGCCTCCCAACCAGCGCCTGATTTAACGTCGCGGCACGACGTTTACAACAATTCAATTGGTTCCCTCCCATCTAGCGCCTGATTTAACGTCGCGGCACGACGCAGAGTCTTGCTTACTCATCAGCGAGTACAACCTTGGTATTTTCACGATTAATCATTCCTCCCCAATAGTACTTGACTCTATGCCCATTCACCAAAAATGTTCTCTCACCATTTAAAGCTCGCAGCTCGATTTCACCATAAGGAGTGACTCGCACCACCTTAAAAGGACCTGACCATCTCGACTTTAGCTTTCTAGGGAATAGCCGTAGTCTAGAGTTAAATAACAATACCTGTTGGCCTGGCTCAAAGTGACGTGGTTTGATATGCTTGTCATGCCATCGCTTTGTCTTTTCTTTATATAGCTTGGCATTTTCATAAGAATGCAGCCTGAACTCGTCTAACTCATTCAACTGCATAAGTCTTTTCTCACCGGCGACTTCAAGATCCATGTTCAGATTCTTAATGGCCCAGTATGCTTTGTGTTCAAGCTCCACGGGCAAGTGGCAGGCCTTCCCATAAACCAGCTTGTAAGGGGACGCTCCAATTGGCGTTTTTATATGCAGTGCTATATGCCCATAGAGCATCATCCAACTTTGCAGCCCAATCCTTCCTATTCACACTCACCATCTTCTCTAATATTTGCTTGATTTCTCTGTTTGACACCTCAGCTTGTCCACTTGTCTGCGGGTGATATGCTGTAGCAACCTTGTGGCGAACTCCATATTTAGCAAGAAGGTTATTCAACAATCGATTGCAAAATTGAGTCCCTTTATCACTGATTAAGGCCCGTGGCGTCCCAAATCTCGAGAATGTGTTCTTTTTCACAAAAGCAGCTACCACCTTGGCATCATTTGTTGGCAAAGCAATTGCTTCCACCCATTTTGACACGTAGTCAACGGCTAGCAAGATGTATTTGTTTCCTCTGGACGGTGGAAATGGCCCCATAAAATCTATCCCCCACACATCAAAAAGCTCAACTTCTAGAATATTATTTAAAGGCATCTCATGCTTCCTTGTGATTGTTCCCGTTCTCTGACATTGGTCACACTTCTTAACGAATGCATGGGCATCCTTGAATAAGGTTGGCCAAAAGAGACCGGATTGTAACACCTTTGCAGCTGTTCTATCTCCTTCATGATGGCCCCCATAAGGTGATGCGTGACAATCATACAAAACTAATTCCACCTCATTTTCAGGATGCATCTCCTCATCAACTGATCAGCACATTGCTTGAACAAATAGAGCTCATCCCAGTAATAGAAGTTCACATCATGTAAGAACCGCTTTCTATCTTCAGATTGGATTTCGGGAGGGAGTACTCCACTTACAAGATAGTTCACATAGTCTGCATACCATGGGGGAGGGTCTTGGGTTATAGTAAAAAGTTGCTCATCAGGAAACACCTCTTTAATTTGGCCGCCCTCCTTCACGTGATCGTGATTTTTCAGCCTTGATAGATGGTCAGCTACTTGGTTTTCTGTCCCCTTTCGATCTCGTATTTCCACATCAAATTCCTGCAGCAACAAAACCCAGCGCATCAAACGAGCTTTGGATTCCTTTTTTGTAAACAAATACCTGATTGCTGCATGGTCCGTATGGACTATGACTTTCGTTCCCACCAAGTATGCCCGGAATTTCTCAAAGGCCCACACCACGGCTAATAGCTCCTTCTCAGTGGTGGTGTAATTCAGCTGTGCACCATCAAGAGTCTTACTCGCATAGTAGATGGAGTAAAACATCTTGTCCTTCCTCTGGCCTAGCACTGCCCCAATAGCAAGGTCACTCGCATCACACATAAGTTCAAATGGTAGAGACCAATCGGGTGCCACAATAATGGGGGCAGTCACCAGCTTCTTTTTAAGTTCCTCAAATGCGTTGAGGCAAGCATCATCAAAATTGAAAGTGACATCTTTTTCGAGCAGCCTGCACAAAGGAGTAGAAATTTTTGAAAAATCTTTAATAAAGCGCCGATAAAAACCCGCGTGTCCCAAGAAACTCCGGACACCCTTCACTGAGATAGGTGGAGGTAATCTTGCAACCGCCTCTACCTTCGCTTTATCAACTTCAATGCCGCTCCTAGATATTCTGTGACCAAGCACGATGCCTTCTAGTACCATAAAATGGCACTTTTCCCAATTTAATACCAGATTTGTCTCATCACAACGGGCCAG